AGAGACAGAAAGCGAGAAATCACCCCCCAGGGGGGATGGTCACGCCGCAATCCCTTCTCCTCCATTCTCCTCTCGGGATCTTGGGCACACACGCACACGCGCCCGGCGTGAGTTTTAAGCCACCGGGTCCGGGATGCGAACCACGGTCGACTACGTGGGAGTCCAGCAACATAGCCATTACGCTAACTGCTGGTTCCCTCTGTGGAGAATCTTGTGGTGATTTTTCTCATCCCTTTTTATTCTTTACTGTCAGCTTTCTTCCTCCAAGTCATAGAGCCAATCCTAAGCTTGGTTGTTTTCCTACATTATTTGAGGCATCTGTTTTCAATATCACAGTCCCTCTGTGGTACTTCCCAAGGCTCTCCTCACAATTCAGTCTTACTACCATCAAGACTATGTCATTTGCTTATTATGTCCATCCCCCGGCAGGTGTTGCAAGAGCCTTTTTAACAGATGAACTATATGCAGGTAAAGAAACCCCATCTCTCACCTGCCTTCAGCCCAGAATGAACATCTTTTTGGAGTTCACTTGCAGCAGCCTCACAGCCTTCCAGCTCCTGCCCATACCTCACGTATTCTACCATGATGATGGGACCCTAGGGGAAGAGGGACTCTCCTTGGGGAGAAACTATTGGACAGAGCTAAGGAAGCACAACTGGGCTGATTACCATTGGGGCCAAGGGAGCCATGGGAATCATTAAAAAGTTCCTCAATGCCTTGGGTCAGGTGGTGGCACAGTAACAACACAATTGGACTCACATGGGAAAGGTCCTGAATTCATGTTCCAGGATGTCCCTGAGCACACTGGGCGTGAGTATGCTCATGATCGGGACTGGGTGAGGCTGGGCTTGAGGATAGATTGTGATGTGAAGACCCTGTTGGAAGTGCCTTTCACTCTCTTATAGAGAAGTAATTAAACCATTTTAAAAAGCTTCTAGAGCCAGCAGGTGTGGTGGTTAAGGTGTTGGACTCCTACATGGCCAATTGTGGTTTGAGTCCTGGACCTGGTGTCTTGCTTTCTCACTTTCTGTCTCTCTCTCTCTCTGTCTGCCGCTGGTGAGCACATGTGCCCTGTAGCAAATAAAAAATAGCCATCAGCTCAATGACTCCTCATCCTAGATATAGGGGAGGTCAACTTTTACAGTTAAAATGCACATGCCTGCAGGGTTTTCAAATAACTGAATGAACTAAAAACATGCTAATAGAAAGGGCAGTTAATCTCAGATTCTTTCAACAGAATTTAGCCACTGAGGCCTCACTGAGGAATCCCAGTTTGGGCTCCCTTAAAATTCCTGGCACCCACCTGTGTTGAAAGAACTCATGGCCATGAGGTGCCTTAAACGGCCTATCTGTAATCATATTGCTTCTCAACTCTAACAGCAGTTGTCAGGATCATGGGGAATCTGGTGAAAAATCTGGAACTGGTTCCCTTGGCTGTTTTCCCCTCTTGGGATCCCAATCAATGGAAATTCTCACTCTCATTTTTGGGCCCAGTCTCTTAACTCTCCTAACCAAATTTATCTCTTCTTCCTTAAAAGCCATAAAATTGCAAATAAAAAAAGGAATGCCAACCCCTTGGGGTCTCCA